AAAAGGACTAAGTAGTAAAACTAGGAAGATATTTAATGTAAACAAAACAGGAACAAAATAAAAACGTTTGATATGAGCTTGGTCGTGGTTCCAGGCTCATCCAGCAAAGCTGAATGGTTGCCTCTGGTTTTTGCAATTTTCAATTGCTAGGGGAATTTTGTGAGTTTGGACTTTTGCATGACAGATTGATTTGGGGTGTTACCACCCACAGGGCAACTCCAGTTTCTCTATAAACTTCTTCATCTTAAAAAAAAAATCACTTCTAGTAGTAAATGGTATTTTGAAGTCCATTGTCTGCTAAAAAGCAAAAGAAAACCCATTTTTTGATGCAAGTTTCACTTTGGCAGACATACAGATGAGGAAGTAGAAACAGAAGCAGAGAAATACAGGCTGTCAGTGTGAGTGTAGCTTTCTAACTGGTCAAGTGATATGCAAAGCAGCCAAACAGAACCTGGTGACTAAAACAAAGTGGGAAGATTAAACCATCGCAGAAATATTCAGGAATAAATACTGAATCTGTTTCTTATCACGTGACATAAGGTTGCTTTGAGTGTTAGATTTCATAATAGTTTACCTTAGTTGCTAAGGGGTTGCAAACATACCGGGTTGGATGTCAGAGTCTGTGGCGGTCTGTGCACTGGTAGCTGGTTGAAAGCAAAAGACTGACCTTTATCCTGGAAAAATATACTCTTCTCCCTCCTCACTCTTCCCGGAGTCTAAATGATTCCACGTCATGACCTACATTGAGTAGACCTTGATATGTACAAATGGCCTATTCAGAGTTTGAAGAGGTAACTGTAATAGGCCCCAGAAGAAATTTCGCATTAGTATGCTCCATTGCCACAGCTAACCCCTGGCTTATCTAGAGATTGCTTAAATCTGCTTCAGTGCATCTGACTGCTTCAGGTTCAAAATGTCCATGGGGCGTGGAGGCAGAGTAACAAGCCATCAGTGCGTGTGATAAAAAAGATAGTCCCCATCCTCTGCGTGTTAGTATTTTGGAGTGACAGGGCCAGGAGGGAGCACATAAGAGCAGGCTGGGAAAGAGAAGATTATTATTAACATATCCAGTATCATTGCTAGCATCTCTTGAATTTTTGTGGGCTAGTGGGAGTTAATACAGTCCCCTTCTGCATTCTGATGAGCTGTAACTTTGAGATAAAGAGCTGTTATATTATTCTAAGAATGTGGCCCAGGCAATAAATATGGTCTTGAGTTCACATTTGGACAAAATTTTATTCTGTCTACATTGAAGTGAGATTACAAAGGCCTTTTCCTCGACATCATGTAGTCAGAGCCTGGCTATCAGCTCTTCTCTAAACAAAACTGTCTGGTTTGAATAAGTGTCTAATTGTTCCCTCCTTTGCCCTATACTCCTGGAAGGATACTTTGTTAGTGTCTATTTAGATGCAAAGTTGTAGGGTAAAGAATGTTTCTTGAGCTATCTTGTATCTGTAAGAGATTTTATGTCATTCTCTTGTAACCCTGTAACTCCTCTATGAGAAAAGTATTACTGCCAAACCCACCCCGTGACACAGATAAGAACTTACTGTTCAGAGAAGAAAATAAGATAACGTATTTGTCCAATAACCAGGGAAGATTCATTAGTTTGGATTGTAGCCTGGTGGGTTGGTTTGGGGCTTTTATCACCCAGAAAGTAACTCTAGAGTTTAGCTGTAAACTTTATCTTTTAAAAAAATGTATATAAGTAGTGGTTCTAGAGTTCATACCCAGTCTACTGGAACATATTCCTTCCACGGCCCTGTAAGAAATGCTAGGCCACTGTGAGGTTGCGGACTTTAGGGTATGATTTGTGTGTGTGTGTTTTAACTTGTATTTTAAGTTCAGGGATACAAGTGCAGGTTTGTTATACAGGTAAACTTGTGTCATGGGGGTTTGTCGTACAGATTATTTTATCACACAATATGATTTTGTGGATTTTTTTTTTAACTTTTATGTTCCTGTATGGCTCAAGCAATTAGAATTTTCTATAGGTATAAAAAAATCCATGCATTTTAAAAAATCAAGAGCTCATTTTCCAACGTTAAACGTAGTCTCTTAACTTCTTATTAAATATGGGAGATATTCAGAATTCTATAATCCATGCTATTAAGGACTGAGTTTCTCTAGAATGGCAGTAGGTGGCATTTATATTTCTTTGCTTGTTTTGCTGTTACTGCTTTCATTGAGGTTATGACATGTATGACTTTTTCAAAGATGAATTTCAAAAACTCAGTGTAATCATACATAGTCCATGGTCCTGTAACAAATGCTCGACCACTGTAAGGTTGTGGACTTTAGGGTATGATTTTGTGGATTTTTTAACTTGTATTTTAAGTTCAGGGATACAAGTGCAGGTTTGTCACATAGGTAAACTTGTGTCATAGGGGTTTGTCGTACAGATTACTTTTATCACCCATGTATTAAGCCTAGTACCCGTTATGATTTTTCCTGATCCTCTCCCTCCTCACACCCTCCACCCTCCAAAAGGCCCCAGTGTGTGTTGTTCCCCTCTATGTCTCCACGTGTTTTCATCATTTAGCTCCCACTTATAAGTGAGAACGAGCGGTATTTGGTTTTCTATTCTTGTGTTAGTTTGCTAAGGATTTTGTTAGATGCCTTTCCTGTATTAAACTCACATTAAAAATTTTCAGAAGCTGTTTTAAGAAAAGTACATAATCAAGATCAGCATTTTGGTATAATTTGAAAGTATAGCATCTGATGAAGAGCTTGCTACACTAACCATGGTACTATTTAATTCTAATGTCTGTGTTTATTACATCTTTCATTGAGTTGGCTTGCCAAAAGGATAGATTGTGGTAATTTATTTAACGAGGGAGCTAGCATTCCAGAGTCCTCTTCATGTCTAATATCTAGCAGGATTAAATTTACTATATATCGCAGAAGTTATTCCAAATAAGAGAAGACTATTATCATTTATATTTTTGGTAGCAGAGAAAACTTATAGGATGTTTATTACAAAAATTTTTTATACGATTTGGACTAGTACTATACATGTTAGCAAGACTAACAGATTAAGGCACATTTAAAAAAATCCAACTAATCAGTATAGGTGTTCCCATCATTTTATGGCTGTTTCAACGCTGGATTTGTCTATTTTTAGGCTAAATTGATGTGAAAGAGTCTGACTGGAACAAAACTGATGGTTTTCTTTGAGTGGCATTGGAACATGTACGGGTGTGGTTTGTACTTTGCTACATTCTTTTCTTACTTTTATGTCCTCTCTCTGCAGTGCATTTTCTATGTAGATTTTTGCAGCAATACTAGCTTGAAAATAAGCAGGAACTCAAAAAAGATTAACCAACACTAGAGAAGCTTAGGAATGTTTACAATAACAGGTTGCTTAAAAGTAGATGGCAAAGCTTAGGGAGATTTATGAGCTGTAAAGATACATATCCCTATTTCATTGGGATGATCTTAATTGTAGTAAATCATGTAAACTTTGTAGTAAATCTTGTTAAAGGGTTTTCCAGGCTTACGATGGTCTCTTATGCAAGGACAGCCTTAGTGGTAGATGAATTGGACAGTAAATTCAGCAATGTGCATGATATGATTTTATATCCAAAGACAGTCTCTTAACTTGTGCCTCACATCCTGCTCATGGTTTGGACAGTTCTTTACCTCAAGGTTTTGCCATCTGTTAAGGGAAACCTTCTCCTCTAGGAAAAGGCAACACTAATGCTGATTCAGTTATTTACCCTTGAGGGTGAATTTTTTTTTTGTTTTTTGTTTTTTGCTGTTGTTCCTTCATTAAAAAGGACACAATTAGTTTGATCTTGAGGACTGCCAGATGAAATCTAACTAGTATGATACATTTTAGCAAGAATAACAGATTAAAACATATTTTAAAAATCCAACTAATCAGGATTAGAATATTCAGCGATGTAAATAGAGTGAACAGATCTACTAATGAGGGTTGTCGATATGACAAAGGGAGAATCTGTTTACAGTCTTAAGATGTGGCTTCTCCGTGGCCTCAGTATCCCAAGTTATTTGGGGAAAATTCTATTTTGAGCTCAGGACATGAAAAATGGAACCAGATCAAAGGTTTTTGTTTCTGTTTGTAAAGAAGGAAATACTGCTGTTTCTGCTTCCATACCATAACCAAAAAGAAAAAGCCAAAGCAGTGATTTTAGCTTTGGTTTTTTTCAGATTCTTAACCTCTAGGTTGTAGAAAGCAAAGCCTTCCAGAAAGATCCCTCTGTCCGTAAGTATCAGAGCAGTCAATTTCAGTGGGATAAGGGCAAGCAATGAGCACCAGGGGAGAATTTCAGAATGCAGTGTCCAGGACCATATCCCCAGTGTATATATCTTGGAGTGAGGAGATCTTACATATTTCTTAAAAGCAATTGACTTATTTTGATATGATGCTATCATTGAGAACCTTCTGGAAGTGTTCTTTAGAGGGATTGTTAAAAAAAATCCAGCCCTTATGACATGCTTGTGATTTATTATATTTGGTAGTTGGAATTATGTAATGATGTGAAGATGCAACCGCTAACATTATTCAAGCACTGGTGTGTAGTAGTGATGTTCTGGAATGTTGCACTCCCACTCTATTTCACTATATATACTTACCTTCTGGGTTAAACTTATTGCTAAAATAACACTTGGCCCACTAGTACCTTCTAAAGACGGTCTGTGTGGCATTAAGTGTTAGTGTTTTGCCAGACTGGTTTGGTCGCCTTCCTTACGTATATTTTCTTATAATCTAAAAAGGAAAATAAGCTCCACCAGCTTGGTTGTTTGTATTTTTATTTTAAGAAATTGGGTTCAGTTTAAAAAATAACCTTACTCATTTACATTTGCAGGTTAGGATAACAGGAATCGTTGACTGTAATTAAGGACAATTTCAATAAATGCCTTTTAATGTGCCTTTAGCAGAGAAGCTGAAACAATTTTAGAAAATGGTATGTTATTTGCTTTATCTCCTACTGTTAGGCTTACCAATAGTTATTCTTTTTTTTCTCTCCCCTCAGATGTACATCCAGACAACAACACTTACTGTCTCCATGAGTTTAAGTGCTTCAGTGTCTCTGGGCATGCTCTATATGCCCAAGGTTTATATTATAATTTTTCATCCGGAACAGAATGTTCAAAAACGCAAAAGGAGCTTCAAGGCTGTGGTGACAGCTGCCACCATGCAAAGCAAACTGATCCAAAAAGGAAATGACAGACCAAATGGCGAGGTGAAAAGTGAACTCTGTGAGAGTCTTGAAACCAACAGTAAGTCATCTGTAGACTTTCCGATGGTCAAGAGCGGGAGCACTTCCTAATAGATGTACGTTGAACATTCTTCTCCTAGTCTTGGGGATTGTGCTGCATGTTTCCATGGGCATGGTGATACCCACATACCGTTACACCATCACATTTAGAACCATTTGGTTAAAAGCAAATGGTCTCAAGATGAGAGGCTGTTCTATGGAGTACAAACTTGCTCACAAAATCTCTTTTACAAAGCATGACATTTCATGTCTTTCTTTTGAAGCATTATGAAACTTGATATTTGAAAGCATCATCTTTTTATAAAAGTTGTATTTTAGTACTTAGAAACAATTCCACAATTTTTCTTGTTCAATATTGGGTGCTTTTTATAGTATCAATAGTTTACTGATATTTATGGAATATGCTACTACAGATCTTACACAAATAAATGATGTTATTTGTGCCTTTAGGGAAATGAGAACTCTAATTAGCCAATACATTTAGTTAAGTCACAGTCAATACTTGTTTTTCCCACGTGGTCCCCTTTCCTTGGGCTTCCTGAGGGCTTCCCTTGACTTCACTTCTTGGATTTATTAAGATAATTAAAGTTCTTCTTAAAAGGCTCATGATCCTGGAAATAGAATATTTTCTACAGCCATCTTTCCATTTTTTTTCTTTTCTTTACCTATTTTCTTCTCTACAGTCCACCCAGGAAGGTGCACATGATAACAATACACAGAAATCTGTGCTCAACCAGTAGAATTTAACTGATCTATTGAAGCCCATTTTGGTATCTATGAAAGAGTGGCAAATATAGATTGAAGATTTGTATGGTAAAATACCAGAAAGCTGAATATGGTAAACATTACAACTTTACCTTACTAGGTTCTACAGATGAATCAAAAAAGAAAGAAAAGCAAAGGTACTTGTGTTAGAGTGGCTTCCAGTCTTTTGGAATATAGCATAGGTATTCAATATTTGTTTTTTCTGTTTGAAACAGGAGCTTGCTCTGTTGCCCAGGCTGGAGTGCAGTGGTATGATCTAGGCTAACTGCAGCCTCTACCTCCTGGGCTCAAGTGATCCTCCCACCTCAGCCTTCCAAATAGCTAGGACTGCAGTCATGTGCCGCCATGCCCAGCTAATTTTGTTTGTTTGTTTGTTTGTTTTGTAGAGGCAGGGTCTCACTATGTTGCCTAGGCTGGTCTCTAACTCCTAGGCTCAAGTGATCCTCCCACCTAAGTCTCCAAAAGTGCTAGGATTACAGGTGTGAGTTACCACACCTGCCCAGGCATTCAGTAATTAAGGACAAAATCCTATGCAAAAATATTCTCTTCCTCTCATATTCATCCAGCAGTCTGTGTCCCCTATTCTCTATACTTTCGACACTAAATACAAGAAAAAACTAAAAATTAATTTTATTTGGTTTAATTATTGTAGCAACTTATGGTCTACATTCCATCTACAAACCTTCTTTTCCATCAAGATTTCTGGATGAACATTGTCTACTCTAATTTACCATACACAGAACTATCCCGTGATAGTTAATTAGCATTGCTTAATTAGACATATTGGTTTCAGTTACTGTCAGCTTACCTGGAATCATTAGCCAGATTGGTTCTAAAAAGATTACCTTCAGGTCACCAGTACCAAATTTAGTCACATGTAGAGAAATGAACTTTACAAGAATTTCACAAACACCCCCCACATATTCACCTTTCTGCAAACATGAAACCTTGTGAAGTAAGAAATATGAGAAGCAAGGTAAGGATGGGCTTTAGTAACAAATCATTACAATCATCTCTGAGTATAGGTAAGCAGTTTACTAATGATAAACCTATTTCATAATTGCCATTAAAGGCATCAAAGTACAATGCTTGCGATTTGAGGACAGAATTTTATCTTTATTCCTACCTTGAGAACATTAGTGTAGGAAGTTGAAACCTATTATAAGATGCCAATAAACTGCTGTTGGCCAGTGATATAATTTGAACACTGGCACGTCTCAGTATGACTCACCAGAGTCTATTGTTGTACCTGTTTTTCTCGATCTCTGTTTTTTTTTTTGTTTTTTTTTTTAGCAACAATCCAGAAAACTTTATAAAATATGGTTGCCAAATAAAAGAACCAAACTTAGAGTAATATAAATACCAGTCATCCAGACTCACCTTTGGAAAGTGGTGGAGAAAAAATTTAATAAACTTTTTCAACACTTTAAAGAATAAATAGATGCCCTGAAAAACAAAATTCTCAGTATTGATAGGAACTAATCTCATATTGTTGAAGTAAATCTCATACATACACTGTTTTCCTTTGGTTATTTCCTGTTAATGTTGAGTTGAAATGGAAATTATATAGCATGCATGTATTTCTCTATTTTCTCTAAAATAAGAATGAAAGACTGAAAAAACAAGGCCTATTTGGTGGGTAAGCCTATAATATTCTGGAGGAGTCAGATGCTCACTTTTAGAAGGTCAGGTAAAGTCAAAAAGTGAATCAAGATAATATCAATTACTGCCTAAAAAAAAAGGTTTAATTGTACTTTGGAGATTTTAGTGCATTGATCTTTTACAGGAGTATAATTTGGTGTGAATAAGTTGGGCCCAAGTAAAGTGATTATGGTGTACTCATTCAGGAGAGAAAGATGTATGACATCTTTACACATCCTTCCACAATCCTACTCCAGGTCACCATTTTTAACCTTTGTTCACTTACATGGCCATTCTACAATGAAAGGGTAAATTTGTGTCCAAGATTTTAAAGTTTCTAAAGTTACACAGAATAAATGTAAGTAATATGAAGCTGGATGGGAAACCAATGAGTGCCGTGTTAGTTGCTGAATTTGCAGACTATAGTTTACATTTTTAAAAAAGGTCAAGTGTTATTTCACAACAGAGTGTGATGGGAGTTAGAAACAAAGTTGATATATATGAATTTTGCCAACTGTACCCAATTAACAAATGCTGTACATAGTATTCTTTAAGCTATGTTCATGAATAATTCATGAAAACAGCTGCTGCTGGAGGTAGATTTGTTTTCTCTAGCTTATGAACACAGTGTGGTGCACACAAGGAAATTAATTTACTGTTGCTGTGCTCAAAAACTGATTTTCATATGAGCATATTCATCACCACTGTGAAAAAAATCTCCCTATGAACTCATCTGTACATCTCTGATTCATTTTGCTCTATAGTACTTCTGGGATAAAGATTCTTGCGAGATATCTGCCACCCACAAAGTTTGTCCCTTATCATTGCTTTCATGTTGACTAAATCATCTGTTTCCAGAGCCTTACACTTCCTTTTCTAACCAGTAGAAAAATTAGCATTACTCTCCTTTTGTGAATTCTATTCTCAATTCTCAATAGAATCCTACCACTTTCTTTCTAGAAACAATGTTTAAGAGTTCAAAAAATAATATATAAATTTTTAATTAGCTACAGATCCCCAAAGTTGGAAAGATCCTTAAAACTGGTCTGATCCAAACTGCCATCTGTCGAATGGACATCTTCTGAAAACTATATTGTTCAATATCTATCAGCTCTTGTTACTCTATTTCAACCATAATTCTTTTTCTAGCTATATACAAATTTTATAACCATTTCCTACATTTTAGTTATTGTTGAAAATATTGAACAGTGCAGGAAGTTGGATGACCCTTTTAACAGTCATTTTTATCACTCTTATGACAATTTTTCTCCACCTTGTCTGTGAAGACTAAAGTCCTTCAAAAACAGAACCAAAGAAAAGATTTTATTTTCTTAGAGGAAATTTAGAGGCATATGAGAGCATTATATAAATTAAAAATGAAAAGTAAAAGTGAGTGATCATAGAAAATCATTGTGTTTCACTTCACACCAAACCAAATGTAACAAATGTTTTACCTTTGGAAAGGTTAAGTAGAAAGTACAACTCCATTAGGTCTCATGTATGGTTCATGGAAAGAAAAGGAAGGAAGGAAGAGAAGGAAGGAAGGAAGGAAGGAAGGAAGGAAGGAAGGAAGGAAAGAAGGGAGGGAGGGAGGGAGGGCGGGAGGGAGGCTGGCTCTATATTGATTCTTCCAGATTACAGCTGTTCCATTCCAGTCTATTCTGCTTTCATCCTTACAGGAACCCAGTATTGTAGGTTTTGAACCAGTGATAAAACTGAGGCCCGGTAACCTGGCCCAATGACTTTTTTTTCACTCATTTTGCAGGGACTAGAATGTAGTTCAAAACCAGGTCTAAAGTCTACTTCCTTTGCACTGTGCCACAGTAATAACTTAGAAGGGTAAGCAATGTGGATAAGATAAGCAAATATGTCAACTATTTTTAGCCTGAAGCTCATAATATTCAATGAAATAAAAAATAACAGAACACATCTGTAGTAGCACTTCTTAGGGCTATATGAGTTAATTTTAGTGGTTGTGAACTTTGTATGAACTTGGTCTCTGGTAAGAACTTGTCTAGTCCATCAATAGTGTCACTACAATGGAATGAGTCTGATTGTCAGTTATTTCAGAGGAGGAACTTTACAATTTCTAGTCTTATTCGATGTTCAATAAATACATTATTTTCTAAAAATCTGTTTCATCCTGAATTGGATTCATGTATTGAAACACATACATTCTTTGCTTTTTAAAATATCTTTTATCTTACCGTTATTCATTCCAGAATTACACAAAAAAATAGGACATCACATTTGAATTTTAGGACAGAGATTCATTGCATCACATCTTTCAAAAATACAAAGGAATTATTTGAATTTAGATTTATATTCTCCAGAATCTTAGGCATGAGTATATTTTGGCATAATATCTCTGTAATGGTCTTACAATAATGAGCTTTACTTTATAGTATGTTGGTAACAGAACAATTTAACATTTCTTTTCAAAGTCTTTATTTTCTTAAATATCTTCATTTGTCTCCATTTGATGAAACCAAAAGAAACCATAAATATGCAATGACAATTCACATATTTACCATTCTATATATTTGATATTTTAGCATGTTTACCTCTAGAGTCTAAGATTATTGTGTGTTTTTAAGTGGAAGATGTATTCATTCTCATAGGACAGCTAATTATAATTACTTAACTTTTTTGGTCATTACATCAGCCTCTAAGAATTGAGGTCTTTGACATAGGTAGTAAAAAATATTTTTTGTATTTTGTAGGACAGATAATTGGTCTGTTCTTTCATTTTACATATACGCAAATGCAAAATTTTACCAAAACATTAAAGATTAGCACTTTTATATTTTTAGTTTTCTAGTAAATATCTATATACTATAAATGAGGCTACTGACTGTGACATATTAAAATTGCTGCAGCATTTTTATTTCTGCTGTTATTTAGTTTTTACTACAGTCACGCATTGCTTAATGACATGTTCTAGGAAATGTTGTTAGGCAGTTTTGTCTTTGTGCAAACATCATTCAGTGTACTTACACAAACCAAATGGTATAGCCTACGACACACCCAGGCGATATGGTATAGCCTAGTCTACCTAGGCTACAAACCTGTACAGCATGTTACTGTCCTGAATTGTGTACACAATTGTAATGCAATGGATATTTACATATCTACACGTATCTAAACATAGTAAAGACACAGTAAAAATAGAGTATACAAGATAAAAATGGTATATGTGTAAATAGGGCACTCACTATGAATGGAACTTGTAGGACTGGAAGTTGCCCTGGGTCATTAAGTGAATGAGTGGTGATTGAATGTGAAGGCCTAGGACATGGCAGTACTGTAAATTGCAACTTTTGCCTCTCGGTTCAAGCAATTCTCCTGCCTCAGCCTGCTGAGTAGCTGGGATTCAGGCATGTGCCACCACACCCGGCTAATTTTTGTATTTTTAGTAGAGATGGGATTTCACCATGCTGGTCAAGCTTGTCTCGAACTCCTGACCTCATGATCCACCCGCCTAGGCCTCCCAAAGTGCTGGGATTACAGGCGTGAGCCTCCGCACCCAGCCACTGTAGATATTATAAAAACTCTACACTTAGACTACACTAAATTTATTTTAAACATTTCCTTTTTCAGTAATATACTATTTTAGCTTTCTATAACTTTTTAGTTTATAAACTTTTTATTCTTTTTACATTTTGACTTGTTTGTTATAAAAACTTAAAACACAAACACATTGTCCAGCTATAAAAAATATTTTCTTTATACCCTTACTCAAGGATAAAATTTTTTCTATTTTTATGTATTCATTTTACTTTTTAAACGTTTTGTGTTAAAAATTAAGACACACACACACACACACACACACACGCTAGCCTAGGCCTCCACAGGGTCATAATTATTGATATCACTTCCACCTCCACATCTGATTCCACTGGAAGGTCTTCAGGGGCAATAACAAGCATTGAGCTGTCATCTCTTGGAATAGCAACGCCTTATTCGAGAATACCCCTGAAGGACCTGCCTAAGGCTGTTTTACAGTTATCTTTTTAATGTATAAGTAGAAGAAGTGCACTTTAAAATAATGATAAAAAGTATAGTGTAGTAAATACTTAAACCAGTAACATAGTCTTTCGTTATCATTATCAAGTATTATGTACTGTATATAATTGTATGCGCCATGCTTTTTCATGACTGTCAGGATAGGAAATTTGTTTACACAACAAACCACAAACATGTGAATTATGCTTTGTGTTAAGTGTTGTGTTACGTGTTCACTGGGTGATAGGAATTTTTCAGCTCCGTTATAATCTCATGGGACCACCTTTATATAATGTGGTCTGCTGTCGAGCTGAAACGTCGCCACGCTGTGCATGACTGAGAATGGTTTAAAAACAATGAGTAACATGCTGTAAAAGCTGGATATTGTAAAAAAGTCATTACAGGACTTGAATTTTAAAATCATATTAACAAAATGATGTATTATTATATACTATTTTAAGTTGTCCTCATTTATCTTAACAGCTTCCTCTACCAAGACAACATATATCAGCTACAGCAATCATTCAATCTGAAACAGGGAAATGACACAATCTGAAGAGATGTGGTATATGATCTTAAACAATGAATATGAGACTGCAAAAATTCACTCCTGGAGATCTCCATAGACTACAATCAATCAAATCAATAGTCTTGTAAGGAACAAAAATTAGCCATGAGCCAAAAGTATCAATAAACGGGGAGTGAAGAAACCCGTTTAATACAATAAAACCAATGAGTGTCAAGCTAAAGTATTGCTTACTCATGAGCAATTAAAAAACAAAATCACAAAAGGAAAACTAATGTTAGCTTGTGAAAAAAAAATGCTGTTGAAATAAATCATGTCTGATGTTATTCTTGTAAGTATTTTTCTGTGATTGTGAGAACTCCCGTTCCTGTCCCACATTGTTCAACTTGTATAAGACAATGAGTCTGTTTCTTGTAATGGCTGACCGGATTGAAGCCCTGGGTTGTGCTAAAAATAAATGCAATGATTGATGCATGCAATTTTTTATACAAATAATTTATTTCTAATAATAAAGGAATGTTTTGCAAATGTTGAGAGTTGTTTCGTTCCAGTTTTAAAGCTAGGGAAAACTCTTCTTTCTAGTTGGCACTTCTGCTGTTTTTTAGCTCCTTCTATGAAAGTGCTGATGTTCTGAGGAATTATTTCTTTGAGGAATGTGTTTTTGTACATTTGTGTGCATATGAGGAAGATTGTCTTTTATTCCTATATTAAAAGCATTATTTGTGTAAGACTTTGTGAATATTTCAAGATTTCTGTGGTAGCTTTTCATAGTAACTGCTTCTTTTATGGAGAATCAAGAAATAGTTTGAGGTAAATTGCTTTGAGTTAATTAACAAATGATGAATTAAACTTTGGAGAATGGAATATGAAAATTACCATTTGAAAGTACATCAAAACATGTCACTGAAATTCCCTATTACATTCCTAAATCAAAACTTTTGCATAATGAAATATCCTGTGGTATGTAGTATTAACCTTTTCTCACCTGGGTATAGAAATCACTGAAATCAGTGAAGTAATGGGCCTTACCTAGTACATTCTTCAAAGCAGAGAATTAGCATATTTATTCCCTTGGCACCACTAAAGAAGCCACAGTTCAGATAACATGTCAATGCTTTCTTATTTTCCAAATGAAAACATTCATTGGTTCATAGAACAGTATCATTAAAGAGAGAGGAAATAGGGAGCCTGTCTCATGCTAATAAACCATGCCAGAGTGGATAAAGGGAGGCTGATAATGGCTTTCGAATCTGTTACCATTTTTGTCATGGGCTCCTCTATGCCATACAATCCCAGACATCCATCAAGTCAATGGGTCTCCACAATCATTTTGTTAGTGAATGTTCTCTCTGCTGAGTTAGCTTGGATGGCTCATTGCACTCCTTATAGATATAAAGAGCTGTCTGTGCTCCGTAGCTTCAACCCAGTTACTGACAGTTACTTTATTTAATAGAGAAGTTTGAAGTAGTATAGTGCAGGTTCCTTCAACATACAGTGACATTTCCTAGATAGCTACAAAGATATATTGCTGCATATAGAAGCAAATGTGTATCTTTTCGCTTTTTGTTGAGTTTCTCCTAATAATAATGGTTGTTGTAGATAATATTTAAATCAAGGAGTAAGGGCATTATTTTCAAGTTTTCAGATCATCTGAATTACTGATAATGCAATCCTGTAATCAGGATCCTAAACCCACCTCTAGGTGTGCCTTTCTAGATAAGACTTAGACTAAGCAAATAAACCCATTACTGCATATTAAGTATGTTGTGTCATGTCGCTCAGTACCAATAGCCATACAAGAAGTAATTATAATTGTATTTTAATTTTTAAGTTGATAGGTTTTTTTTTTTCCATTTTGGAGATGGTTTGTAGTTTATAAGATGTTTTTTACTTCATTTTAACTAAGCATCTATATTTTTGGTTGAGAAAATTGCTTGAATTATATAAGCCTTGCATTTCATTCAGAGAGCAAAACTCAAGTATATTTTTATTTACTAATTTCATTTACTAATTGACTCTAATCAGGTTCGGTGGATGTGACAGGGTGATTATGAGAGCTAAGCTGGCTCTCAGACCAAATGTGGGTTTTCACTATTATTGTTACTTAAAAAAATGTTAAAGTTCTAGGAAGAAAAATAAAATACCAAGCATAATTAATGACATTTCAAAATTCTTCTTCCTACCACCAACCTACCAACAGGTTGTTTTCCCTAAGTACTTTAACAAATAATTGACACTTGTTTGGGGTTATACAAAATCTTATTTAATTCACAATAAAGTTGAATAATAGCTCTTGTGGACTTACATATACCAGTCATCGCTTGTAACATTATCTCAGTGGGAAACATTCTGCTGATGAAACTACCACATTTTTCACGCAGTGGAAGGATAAACTCCCTCAGCCTCTTACAGTAGGAGCTGAGGAATTCTTCCTTCCACTGTGTTTATTTTCTCAGGGATTTTGCTGAGGGCTTGAGAGGTAGTCATATAGGTGTAGGACAATGGCGGTGAGGTATCCTGCAGGAGGGATTTAGTATGTGCCAGTAGTGGATCATAAGTCCCATGCTTTAAAATGAACTGTCTGTGTACTATAGATAAGCAAATGCAAAGTTGCACGGAAAAAATGCACTATTATATTCTTTAGAATTGACCTTGTGTTTTATTCTGGCCAAGAAATGTCACATCTAATCTCAACATGCCAGAGGGAATGCTAAAAATGTAGCCTGAGGTAATATTCAGCAAATGTCACTAGTAGACAATGAGAGATATATTAGTGTGACCTTGGACCAAATCTGACCTCAGTTTTTAAAATATTTCTAGCTTATAATAGTTAATATTTAAAAATGTCTAAATCAATGATAGTTGATATGCCACAAACTAATCTTATTTTTAAACAAAACTACTCATAAATTTAAACGTGAGGGATGACTCTTTGAACATGAACAGGAACCTAGTAACTCGATTTTTAGTGTTTATCATAAAATTTTACAGAAAATGTGGCATGTCAGATGAACAAGATTTTACTTTCTTAGAAAATTAAATACCATATTACATGAAATCTCACTAGGAACAGGAGTTTTTGTCATTTATGTTTTCTTCCTCTTTTAACACAATATATTATTTACCAATATTTCTTGACAGTGTAGAAAGAATATTAACAATTTTCTAAACTATATTAGTCAATACTGATGTTTTATTCAGTCAGCAATTGGAAGAAATCACATTCTTAAATCCTATTATGCAACCTTACCAGTTTTTCTCATTTCATTTTTGAGTTTCTGCTAATAAATTCCTTAAAAAATTGGTTGTTTGATTTTCATCCACTTTCTAGAATGAAATGGCCAGAAGTAACAATGAGATTGCATGCAAGAATGAGTGAGAATACCGAATTATAGAATACTCTTATTGTATACGATGATCTTTAGAAATGTTTCTTTTTGATTTTTTTGTTATTCTCCTTTAATGAAGATGAAAATAGTATAGAAAAATTTGACCACAGCTAGAAAAATAAAACATTTCCTTAAGAAGAAATTATTGTCTATGAATACTCAGAAAGTTGCAGACTGCCACTTGACAAGTGTCATATTACAGGGGTAGTGCGAGAAAATAGCACATAATTTTATTTTTTTAAAAATCAATTTTCTATGACTATTCTATTACAGTTTTCTCTTTCAAAATTTTTTTGCATTATAATCTTTAGTGGTGGTGTTACTTTTGAGCATTTTTTAAAATTTAACCCTCCATAGGACATTCAGAATATTTTTGTTTGTTGAACTCAGTCTCTTATCACTGTGAAGTCTAATATTTTATTTTGATTTATCTATCTGTTTTAAGAGTGATAAGGATGGACATAAACAAATTTGACCTATGAAGTGTTTTTTCTAGTTGCCTACTGCTTAGGTGGTTATGGTAAATTAATTTTTACAAATAACTTGCTACAAAGTCATAAAGTAACAAGCATGGATCAAGGCCTATGAAAATCCAAGAATTAACCATGCAATAACTTGGATGGGAAGAAAGGGTGATGCGTTTATAGAAAACAGGAAAGACAAATGATAAATGTAATGTTTCAGGTTGTAAAGTAAGCAATATCAGGTTACTTGGCAATCAACTATGTCCCATTAGGTAAAATCAATAGAACATAGGTTAATTTTGAGATCTAATAAAAATATTAGTGTTAAAGCATAATTTTGTAGAAGTTAAAAGCAACTCTTATAACAAAAGTAAAATGAACAAGTCAAGGATTTTATTCAACTCATTACCTAATAAGGGAACAAATAAGATCTTGAAACTAGTCCAAAGAGTATTTGAGAAGCTAGTTTATACACACACACACACACGCACACACACACACACAGATATATATAAAATAAATCAGAGGATTAGATACAAAACTGGTTTAGTATCCTACAGTATAATAATAAACCATAACATTTCAGGTTGTATGTTCCATTGGACAGACATTATTTGCATTTCTACTAGAAAAAAACCATACTTATTAACCCCTACGCCTAAAGCAGTAAAGTAACTTTGTTGATAGACTCAAATGAAGCCCTCTACGGAAAGAACAGCCATTCATATCTTTTGCCTATTGCTAAATTTTGGATAATTTCTGTGATGAGTGATAATTTATTGCTCTACTTTCCCTAACTGTAAACATTACATTGGCAACAAATGAATAATAAAGATCACAAACACACCGAAAATTACATGAAGGTAAAGCAGTAATGGAGAAGCTCTGGTATGGGGCTGTTGGAATTATTCTTTCCTATCTCAAATCTTAAGTGTATCTCCAATTCAGAACTGAATTGTATAAAATGATAAGGTGAATAACTGTGAATAAAAATGTACTTGCCTTCAGGTAACATCACTAACAATTCTACAAGTAATTTGTGAAAGTATGACTTATTCCTTTTGTCCCCATCTGCCATCTTTAGTGAATACTTTCTCTCCTCTTTTGTAGTATATTACCCTAAAATGGGAAATCAGCTTTTCAAGAGTGTCCCCGAAGATGACAAACTATGGATAGTTTACTTATTTCCATGAGTGCCTTCTACTTGTCATTGGCTAACAACCCTGGCCCTTCCTAACAAAGCCTTCTTCAAATCCTGACCCCTGACAACTTCTAGGAAGGTGAAGCAAGAATGAAAGAAGCCATCTTAATCAAAGATGGGGAGAGGAAACAGGTATGATTAGTAGGGCTCTGCTTTCCTATAAACATCCTAGAATTTAATAACCTCTGTCTATCCCTTACTTCTGTCTGGCATCCTGAGCTCTGCAGAGCAGGGTAATGGTGAGTTTGGGACCATGGGACTCTCTATCCGTAGGGAGCCCATTTTCTCAGTAGAGTCTTAGCAGCGCTGGAGCTCAATGTTCCCTTTGAAGATCTTTACTAAACTCCTGGAAGAAGAAATGAGGCAGCACAAGGCAAAATTATAAAGTAGATGAAATGTGGCTTATTGGCTTTTCTGGTTTTTGGATTTTTTTCCCTCATGATGTTCTCCAATTTCTTTTTACCTCTTTCCAATCTCA